ATTCGTCTTTTGTATTCATGGAATCACCACTCATTGTGATTGGTCATATGTAGGTTTATCAGTTGGTAGGACTAACAGAGCTATATTACGCGGGTAGTCATGGAATGGACATAATGACTTCTTCTGATGATCCGAATTGTTTTAAACCAACTGACCAACAGGTAAAAAATTCATGTTCGAATTAGCTATGTTCAACTAAATGATGATCTAATTCTGTTTGTTAAAATAAAACACTATTTTGTGTGTTTATTAGGGCAAGGAAGTGAATCTGTTTCAGCCTGCTAGAGAATTTATACCAATTATCGACGAGGTTTTTAGAATCCTTGTTGAGAAAATGAAAGATATTAAAGGTGCAAAAGTAGAGAACCACAAGTTTTGTGCTTCTGTACATTACCGTAACGTTGATGAGAAGGTAATCAAAAACATTAAAATAACCTTTTTGTTTATGTAATCAAGTATACAAATGTTTTGCAAAAGTTTACGTAATCTTTATTAAAAATGTTTTGGTGTATTGTTTAGGATTGGCCACTCATTGCTCAACGTGTTCATGACCACTTGAAACATTACCCTCGTCTGCGTCTAACTCATGGGAGGAAGGTGTGATTGGCTTAAGAGTCTAATTCTCAAGTTTTCCAATTTAACATTTCTTTGAATCAGATTTTATAACGATAATTAAAATTTTTTTGGTATTTAAGGTTTTAGAGGTTCGTCCTGTGATAGACTGGAACAAAGGAAGAGCGGTCGAATTTCTATTAGAATCTCTTGGTATACATTTTATCATTATCTGATTTCCTTTCCTCTTCTTGTAAATGGAAAGATTGTTTTCGCTTAATCGTAGTTTGATCAAACTTGTTAGGACTAAGCAACAATGAAGATTTGCTTCCTATTTACATTGGAGATGACACAACCGATGAAGATGCATTCAAGGTAACTTACGTTCCCATTTTAGTAAATAAGCTTATCATTGTCCAATTGAAACAACTGAATGATGAACACGATGAATCTTGCAGGTACTGAAAGATAGGAACCGAGGTTTCGGTATCTTGGTATCGTCTAAACCAAAAGAAAGCAATGCGTTTTACTCACTTAGAGACCCATCTGAGGTACTTATAACATAAAACCATCTAACAATGTCTTGAAAAGGGTTTTTATATGTAATTTTCACATGTTTACATGATGTTATGTATAATGTTTGCAATGTGTTTTTGTGTGTTTGCTTTTTGGTTTGTAGGTGAAGAAATTCCTAAAGACTTTGGTGAAATGGGCAAAACTTGAGAAGAACTCTTAGTTGCTGGTTTTTTATTACTATTATAGTGGAAACCTGATTAATTAAAGG